AGTTGCACCTGCTAATAGAGATCACTATAGTACAAAACCTCCAATTTTTGATGGAGAAAATTTTGATTACTGAAAAGATAGAATAGAAATTTTTTTCCCTGGTCATGATGAATATCTATGGGATATGATAGGTGATGGTTACATTCATCCTGTTGATGCTAGTGGTAATAAGGTGGAAAGAAGAGTGATGACTAATCAACAATAGAAAGACTACATTAATCATCACAAAGCAAGAACCGTCTTGTTAAATGCTATTTCATACACTGAGTATGAAAAGATCATAAACAGAGATATAACAAAGTCTATATTTGATTCTCTGAAAATGACTCATGAAGGAAACACTCAAGTTAAAGAAACCAAGACACTTTCCTTGATACAGAAGTATAAAAGCCTTCAAGGTGGAAGGCAATGAAACTATTGAAAACACGTTCTCAAGGTTTCAAACTCTTATTGCAGGACTGAAGGTTCTGGACAAAGGTTACTCAACTACAGATCATGTGAAGAAAATGATTAGAAGTTTACCCAAGAGATGGAGGCCTATTATAACTGCGCTGAAACTTTCTAAGGACCTGAACAACACAACTCTTAAAGAACTTGTAATTTCTTTAAGAATTCATGAGGTAGAGCTTGAAGCGGTGAGCCTCAAAGAAAAGTTAAGTTCGTGGCTCTGAAATTCATGGGGAATTTTGAAAAGACCAAAGTCTTTCAAGTTGAAGAAGAAGATGAATTGTCTCTTATATCCAGACAAGTTAATCAACTTGGGAATAAAAGACAAGGCAAGTCCTAAGGCTTTAAAAGGATAGATACTTGCTTTGAGTTTACATCTGGACTGAAGAAGTCAGGTGCTGACAAAGACATCATTTGCTTCAAGTGCAAGGAGTCAGGTTACTAAAAGAATGAGTGTCCCAAGCTGAAAAAAGACATACCAAAGAAGGACTTCAGAGGAAAGAAAAAAGGTCTGATAACTTCTGAAGATGATTCTGAATCATCAAGAGATAACTCTAAGGAATAGCAAGCTAATGTGGCGCTTATGGCAAGCACAAAAGCACCTAATGAAAAGATTCAAACAGAATCAGAATTTGAGTTTGACTCTGAATAGGTATTCCCTAACTTATCTCGTTCTGAATTAGAATCTTTCCTTTCTGAAATTCTGAAAAAGTATCAGAAGTTTCAAAACAAATACAAGGATCTGAAACAACTCCATGTATCTGAATATGAAGCACATAGTAATCTTAAGAAATATTTCTCCATTTTTAATGAAGAGAATTTGATTCTAAAAAATGAAAACTCTGCTTTTCAAAGTAAAAGTTCTAAACTTGAAAAAGAAATCCTTTCAAAAGCTTTTGTGGATTCTAAAGCTGTCATAAAGAATTATGACAAATCGTTTCAGACAATTCTGACTAGAAACATAGATAGAAGAAAGATGGCTTAAATGGTCTATGGAGTTAGAAGAAATGAAAGAAGGGGAATTGGTCATGTGCTTAAGTAAAACCCTATTTCAAAATCTAAGGCAAAACCAAAAGCTCTGAACTCTCATTTCCCTTATGCTCACACACAAAATTATTATTCTGCACATAAACCCAAGTTTTTTAAGAACTCTGGGAGAACTAATAAGAAAGGACCCAAAAAGGGGTACCTAAGGATAAGATAATATATGTTGCAGACATCCTTAGCAGCTCAATTGAAACACCAGTCATAGTACCTGGACTCTGGGTGCTCACGACACATGACAGGAAGAAGGCATATGTTCCAAGACCTGGAACTTAAGCCAGGTGGCTTCGTGGGTTTCGGAGGTGATCAGAAAGGTAAAATCATAGGCTCTGAAATAGTTGGTAACATTTATCTCCCTTATATTACTAATGTTTTATTAGTTGAAGGATTAAATGCATAACTTATTATCCATAAGTTAATTAAGTGACAATGGTTATGATATAATCTTTAATCAAAAGTCCTGTAAAGTTGTTAGTCAGAAAGATGGTTCTATCCTTTTCAATGGCAAGAGGAAGAATAACATTTATAAGATTAGACTTCCTGACCTTAAAAATTAGAATGTAAAATGGCTTATGTCTTTAATAAAGAGAAAATGGGTCTGGCATAAACGATTGGGCCATGTTAGCATAAAGAGGATTTCTAAGTTAAATAAGCTTAATCTAGTCAGAGGTCTCCAAAATATGAAGTTCTCTTCATATGCTCTTCGTGAAGCATGTCAGAAAGTCAAGTTTTTAAAAACCTCTTTCAAAGCAAAGGATGTTATTTCTACATATATGCCTTTGGAACTTTTGCACATTGACCTTTTTAGACCAGTGAAAAGTGCTTCTCTCAATGGCAAGAAGTATGGTTTATTTATTGTAGATGACTACAGCAGATGGACATGGATTAAGTTTCAAAGACACAAGGATGAGTCACATTCTGTGTTTGCTACCTTATGCTCTCAAGTGCAAAACAAGAAAGACTTTAGAATGGTTAAAGTTAGAAGTGATCATGGTGGAGAATTGAAAAATAAATATTTTGAGAAACTCTTTGATGAGAATGGAATTTCCCATGATTTCTCTTGCCCTATAACTCCACAACAGAATGGAGTTGTAGAGAGAAAGGATGAGACTTTGCAAGAGATGGCAAGAACCATAGTCAATGAGACTAATATGGCTAAGCACTTCTGGGCAGAGGCAGTCAACACATCGTATTACATTCAGAACAGGATCTCTATAAGACCTATTCTGGATAAGACTCCGTATGAATTCTGGAAGAAATGAAAGCTCAACATTTCATATTTTCATTCTTTTGGTTGTGATTGTTTTATTCTAAACACTAAGGGCAATCAAAATAAGTTTGATTCTAAGGCACAAAAGTGTATTATGTTAGGATACTCTGAACGTTCTAAGGGTTATAGAGTATACAACACAAAAACACGAATTGTTGAGGAATCAATTCATGTTAGATTTGATGATAAGCTTGACCCTGAAAAGTTAAAGTTAGTTAAGAAGTTTGCAGATCTGGAAATCACTGATTCAGGCTCTAAAGATAAAGAATCAGAAGACAGGGAATCTGAGACTAAGTAATCTAAAATTGTTCAACCTGTAGCTATTGAAGTTCAGACTCCTTTGAGAAAACACAGACAAAGATCCTCACATTTTGAATAATTGATTATGGGAGATAAGACTGAACCAGTCAGAAGCATATCCTCATTCAAACCTTCTGAAGAGACGCTTATGGGTTTGGTGTCCCTCATGGAAACTACATCTATTGATGAAGCCCTTCTGGACACTGAGTGAATTCTGAAAATGCAACAAAAACTGAATCAATTCTTCAAAAATGATATGTGGACTCTTGTGCCCAGACCCAAAGGAACTCTTGTATTGGGACAAGATGGGTCTTCGGAAACAAACTTAATAAACAAGGAGAGGTGGTAAGAAACAAGGTCAGACTGGTTGCACAAGACTATAATCAACAAGAGGGAATTGACTATACTGAGACATTTGCACTAGTTTTCAGATTAGAGTCTATTCATCTCTTAATTTTTTTTGGTGTTAATCATAACACCATCTTGTATCACATGGATGTTAAGAATGCATTTCTGAATGATTACATGACTGAAGAAGTGTATGTACACTAACCTCCTTGTTTTGAAAATCATAAAAATCCAAATTTCGTTTTCAAATTTAAGAAATTTTTGTATGGTCTGAAATAAGCTTCTATAGCATGGTATGAAAGACTAAACAATTTTTTTTTAGAAAATAATTTTACCAGAGAGAAGGTTGATACAACCTTGTTTTGTAAAACATTCAAAAATAATATTATTGTTGTTCAAATTTGTGTAAATGATATCATATTTGGTTATGCTAATGCTCTTTTGTGCAAGGAATTTGTTAAGTCTATGTAGGCAGAGTTTGAGGTGAGTTTGATGGAAGAACTTAAGTTCTTTCTGCGAATTCAGATTAATCAAAGTCCAGAAGAAACATATATCCATCAGAGTAAATATACCAAAAAACTTCTGAAAAAGATTGACATGTCAGAATGCAAAATAGTTAAAACTTTCATGCATCCTACATGTATTTTTGAGAAGGATAAGGTAAGCGCTAAGGTAGAGCAAAAGGTATACAGAGATATGGTAGATTCTCTCTTATACTTAAGTGCTTCTAAATTTGACATTTTATTTAGTGTTCGTTTACGTGCTCACTTCCAATCAAATCCTAAAAAATCTCACTTAATAGCTATTAAGAAGATAAGTATTTGAAAAGTACTATTTTGAGAAGTTTTATGTGAACTGTTATTTTATCATAACATATAAAGTATATTTTGAGAAATTTTATCCCCACAAGAAAACATACATTTGTCTTAACTTTATTTATGGTAAAAAAAAAAACATACTATTTTTTAAATTTCCGGTAGACCAATTAAAATTTTCGATATCAGTCCTAAAAAATTTAAAATCATGCATGTGAAAGGTGAATTTTGAAAAATGAGTGAACGCCGTATTATCTATTTATACAAAATAGGGGATGAGATGGAGTTTGGCCAGATAAATTCTCCTCTTTCTAATTTGTTATCTTGAGGGGGGGACCACCAGTCCGCCAAATAAAGTGGTTTTGATTTTATTTTTTTGAAACAGCAAAGCAACCTTTCAAACAGATATTGAGATTTTGAAAACAAAATGCAAGCAATTATAGTATCAGACAAATTCTATATTACATATTAGATACAGCACGTTGGCAAATATTATGGGAAGTAGATTTGCCCATTAGTTTTCTCGTTGTACAGATTTCTCTATCCATGGACGTGCACATGGAATCACTGAACCCAAACATGAGATGCTAGTATCAAAATACTAAGCCTATTTGTATTAATGTTACACTAAAACAATACAGAGTTACACCCTTGAGTTTCTCTTTGCACTATTAAGGTAGACAAGATGGATAAAACACAATATGCTCATAACCAAAACTATGATAGCTCCCAAATTATGCAAAATTATTGCAGCGAATGGATTTTTGTGAGAAGCTCTAGTCTTGAGGAAGAAGTGCTATCTCAATTTCTTGAAGTGATTTCCCTTTGGTTTCCACCACATTTCTTTTTACAAAAATTACTGCCATCATGCAGAATGTAGCAAACATTGAGTAAAGCAGTTGTGGACCAAGTTTCTCCAGTAAACGCAAGAACAGTAACCCAACAAGGAAATTACAGACCTGTACAAAATTGCAATGAACTTTAGAAGCCTTCATTTTCTTAATTCAACCATGGTAAAATTCAGGAACAATGTAACAAAATTTATCAAACTTGGTCAGACTAAATGATGTGCAGATGATGTAACGTTGACTAATTGGTAATAGAACAGAGCATAAATTACAAACAAACAGAAGAAAATTACCCAATGTACGGACATACAGAATGCCATGGCTTTGGCTCTGATTCGACTGGGAAAGATTTCTGTTAGAAGTAGACCTGGAACTGGACCAGCTCCAAGAGCAAATGTAAAGACAAACCTGCATGAAAGAAGAAAAAATGTCAGTGTTCATTTTCTGGCAGTGTCTGCCTGCACTGCATACAACCCTAGCCAAGGTGATGGTTCCAAGTTTTTTTTTTTAATGGCGTGACTGTTCCAAGTAACATCAATGATTATTATTGTTTTTTTGATCCAAGACATCCTCAATAATTCTCTTTTCAAAACATCATCCACTAGTGACCTTAAATCATTAATAAAAGCAACTTCTCTCCAGCTAAGAAAATGTCATGTCACTATTTCTATGAATTTAGTTTCACTCATAATTTTCACTACAGATGCATCTATCAAGAATCAAGATCCGTATTCATAGTTACAGCATACTCACATTAGCATGCCACCAACAGATAAGTACAGAGCTCCCGTGTTTAGTAAAAGTGAACTTGCTCCTGTGGCTTGAATGATCATTGATATCGCCTATACATTGTATATATAAATATATTAAAATTCTGATTAAAGACCAGGTTAATCTTTTTTATATACAATAACAAGATAAGATAATTAAAACATCATAACGCAACAAAGGAAATTTCCCACAGTTTTGCAATGTTGTGTGCTTGCATGGGTTCACATGCCAAACAATATTTCCCCTCTTCGTTACTTTTGATTGTAATTATAATTACGATTTATCTTTTTACTTCATTATTATTTAGATATAGTTTCTGAATATAGTTTAGCTGTTACTATTTTGTTCCTAATCTTGAGGAAATCCAACTAGGTCTCAGAATTGTAGATATTCATTGTAAAAATAATAATATAATTGTTTATATTTTTCAAATTTTATAATAAACACCAAGTCAGGACTTACAAAAGGATAACTTGTTCCTGAGTACCATATTGTGATGTGTGTGAAAATCACCTTTAATATGATGATATGCTACGACTGGATTATTAAGAAAAAAATATAATGGAACATCTATGCATAATTTACCATGCCAAAGAAACTCCAAAAGAGTAGAACCTTCCTTCCAAGTTTATCCATCAAAACCGTTGAAATGATAGATCCTGAGATAAATAGGAAGAGAAAATTAGCATTTGAGAATACAACAACTCAATGCTATTAGAATGAAAATGAAACCGTACCTGTCAAATTAGCAATTCCTATGCACACATTTGCAACATCCGATGGTACTCCAGCACTTTTAAAAACAGTTGAAGAGAAATAAAACACAGCATTTATACCAGATAGCTGTTGTAAAGCAAATAGGGTTGATCCAATAAAAACAACTGCAAAACGAACTCGTGAATAAAAAATGACTTTTGGATACCTAAAGAAACCAGTGACAATCTAATAACAATGACATAAACACACAATGACACGACTATCCTAGAGATAGACATAAAAAATTATACCTTTAGAATGATGACCATGAAGCAATTCAGAGAACTTCACATTATCAGTATCGTCACCTCTATCTACCTTGGATAACTGTGATATTGCAAACTTTGCTTCGGATACACCCAGAAGCCTTTCAAATTCAACTTCTGCTTCAGCAGTTCTTCCTTGCTATATGACAAAAGAGACAAATGATCGAGAACTGTCAAAAGGATGGTAGATAGAAGCGACACAGGATGAACATTTGTCTTGCTAATTTATAAAAACCAAGAACTATTAAAAATCATGCCAGAGATGGCTAGAGAGAGACTTGGAGAATATGTAAACAGTTAAAACTATCCCTCCAGTCTTCTATTAATAAGAAAAATGAGGATATGCATAGAAGTTAGTAGAAGCCTTCAAGAACTATAAACCCAGTCTGAATATTCCTCAGTAATTTTGATGACCAATCATAGGACTAAATATGATGAGACTAAACGAAGTGGGTGGGGCTGGGGAGAGGGGAAATAATAAAATATGCAAACCAAAGAGTGTAGGATAACTATTTGCTTTTGGTTTTACTTCATTATGGCAGAAGTTGATCCATGTAGCCGATCACACTTAGTAGAATAAGGCTTGGTTGCTGGTTGTTGTGTCAACAGAAAAAAAAAAAAAAACTACAAAAAATCAGCATGGGTTGGTTAAACATGCAACATAAAAACACATACTCATCCTTTAGGCTTTTTTATCTTCAAGATTATTTGATCATTACACTAGATTACTAAATAACGAAGCTTGCACTTATTTGTAAATGTATAAAAGACACATAGAGCACTTTAACATAGTAACAGCTTAATTAACAGAGATTTCAAGCGATTCAAACAAATCTAGGAGCAAGAAGTTATAAATATAATTATAAAAAGAGATGATGTCTAATATGAAATAGTATTAGGTGTCAACCTTGTATAACCAATGTGGACTTTCTGCACAGAAGACCATAGCCAGAGCAAGTATAGCTGCAGGTATGGTAGATACCCAAAAACAAACCCGCCACCTAAATGAACAAATTCAGGGCATGTTTGAGAAAAGGTAAAGTATAAATATCAGATAATATGAATTTAAGATTTATATTATACCATCCAGAAATTTCTTTGACAGGGATTCCAATAAATAATGCGCCCAATATACCAAAGCATGTTGCAATCTGGATGAAGGCCCCATAGGTACCACGCACAAAAGCAGGAGAAACCTATCACTCAGTATAGAAATCACATGAATAACCACTATACTTTAATCCTTGCCAATGAAACAGAGGCAACCATTTACATACCTCTGTCACATACAGAGCAGCAACAGCAGGGCCCAAGCCCAGGCCAGTCCCAACAATTAGCCTTCCAACAAGCATGCCAAACAAGTTGTTTGTTGCTGCACTGAATGTTCAGAATATGAATGAGAAAATTTTCCCTAAGAACTTATACTTGAAAACATAGAGGTAAAAACTACCACTGACCAAACTGAAATACATACAGGGGTCAGATGTTTCGGTAAAAGCGACTTAAAAATCATATTAACTCTATTATGATATACATATACTAACTTTTGTAAAGATATCTAAGAGGTGCACCTTAAAATCAAACTCAAGGGTCACCTTACAGAATACCCTTTCCACCTATGATTTTGAAACTCAAAACAGGTGATTTTCTCTGTTGTTAATCTATTATCATAGGATATACTCAGAATATATGAAAGATGAAAAACATATGTTCTTTTCGAAAGCTAGCAAAGTAACATGCAAATATCATAATAGAAGAAGAGTGAGCCCCTAAGGAAACCATAAGATGGAAAATTGGCAATGAGGTACAAGAGGGATGGGGGAGAAAGAAGTAAAAATATTTTATCACATTATAGAACACATGAATAAAATATTTTATGCTTCCACAGTCGCTAAGAGATCAACAGTAAAACTAGAAAATCGATAAATAAAAACTTTAGTACGAGCACGTGAATAAATTCATAGAACATTAACCCTACCAGTTAAGTAGATCACACGGATAATTGATATTGACATATCTTAGCTATACTATAGTGGCATGAAATTGACAAGGACAAACTTGCTTTATCAATAGAAAGAACCTCAAAGACTAATACTAATTATGCTTCTGGCAAAGGTACGACATATAAATTTCAAAGTAATTTATAACACATCAACCACAAATGCAAAAGGGGCAAAAAAAGTTGGAAAGAAAATTCGCATTTATTCCTCAAAAAAATAGAACGAATCAAACAACATATTTGAATATGAAAGTATAACCTCATTGAAGCACCAATTATCATTGGCAAAGCACACAACTGGAAAGCCCTGCGTCGCCCCACTCCATCAGCAATCCAGCCACTCAGTAAACAACCAAACAAGGCACCACCAAGACATATGCTCACCACCAGGCCTTCATTTGAAATCAACACCGAAAAAAATCTATTATAAAAATTTTTTTTAACATGATATCAAATTAAGTATAGGTTTTGAAATCTTCTTTTTCACCTTCTGCCAAGGTATTTCCATGGAATCCAAGATCCAAAGAAATGCTCTCAAGTGGTTCATTAACTACTCTGTAGAACCCAAAAAATCAAAGGATTAAAAGTGTAGTCTTTAATGGATTCCCAATTAAAGCAAGAAAACCAAGAGAAGGGTATGGAGAAATAGAAACTAAGGAAGCACAAACCCGAGATGGTATCCAAATAGGAATGAAGCAATGGTCGCCACAAGTACATGTGGTAAAGAACGCTTCCAAGAAGGATTTGATGTTTCCTTACCCATACAGTTGTCTAAAAGATCTATTAGGCACATAAAACAGCAATGGTTAGTAGTTACCATGATAGAAGAACTAATCAAAAATATGCAGTACATCACTAAAATGACATCTTTTCAATTATCATTTTCAGCGCTGCAGTGCAGTTGATTGTAAAAATAAGGACAGCTGGACGAGCAATAACATATAAATGAAACTAGGAAAACCATATCACTTTCAAGATTTAGATGATTTGCTTTTCTTCTGAATAATGAAATTTTGAAAGGATTATGCTGGAAAGGTAGCAATTATTTCACAGACAGGGTACTTCCTTGAGGAGGTATTCAGGTTAGATGCAATACTTCACAACAGATAGGAACTAGTTAATACTGTCACAGAACCTGAAGTACATTTGTAAATGTTCAACGAAGAGGTACCTGAGTTTTCTTCCACGTCTTCTTCCATATTTGAATTATCTTTTGTAGGAGTACGTTTGTACATAAAGGAATTTTCACGGTAATGCCCCCACATGCCTAAATTTCACCTGACAGCTTGCCCAAATCAGCCTAACTGAAAAGATTCAGTTTATCTGTGTAAATAAAAAAATATAACTAAAAGGTTACATGAAAGCTCAGCAAAGTGAGCAAAATCAAATTTTAATACATCAATGTCTTGTAAGACACCAACAATACTGTGTGTCCTCTAGGAAGTCAAGTTAAAAAACAACTTGAGCTAAAAAATATATTTATCTTTGAGAAGCAAGATACATTTCTAGATCATTATCGTAATCAAATACAGTTTTCCCTCAGCAATTCAAGAAATTGTCTCCCAATTCTGAAGGCAATTCTGTTTATAAAGTATATACCGTACAAGGAAGAAAACTTGGCATGTTTACTTTCTAAAAACATTTTCAATTTTTATTTTCTAAAATCCATGTTCATGTTAATTTACCAACAAAGAGATGGAAGACTCATATAATAAACAATTGTGACAAAGAGAATATGAAATGCAAGCCAAAAAGAATGTATTTTTAGAAACAATGTTGTCAATTTCAATTTTTTAAAATGTTAGATCTATTTTCATAAATCGTAAAAGAAATTATGAGGGCAATTACTTGATCTTCATTCTCTTGTGCTAACTAATCAAAGTGAAAATGAAAATAGGAAACAAGGAAGGAAGCGAGCATTAAAATCTTAAAGAACCATGTTCTATCCAAACTCAAAGCTCAATGTCATTCAAGCAAGTACTACACACGCAAAATAATCATCTAACAACAGCTATTCTTTCCACTAAAATCATAATACCTCGTGTGTTTTATTATTTCTTCTTTTCTTAGTTTTTACAGGTATTCGATGCGGTAACAGCTAGTTATCACTATCAGAGCCAAAGAAGCTCTAAAAATACTCTCATCCTAATCCAACATGCATACACATAATTGTCTTCTACCAAAGCAAAACTAGCTGGAGATGTTTCAAGCACTCCAAAACCCAAAATGCCAGCACCAACTACCTATAAACTATAGTACTTCACAGTTTCACTATCATAATCAAATTCCCACAAAGTTCACAACTCATGGAACTTCCAAATCACTTTATTATAAGCTCAATCCTACAAATCTATACAAAATCGCTAAAAATGAATCACAGATTCACAGTAACGCTAGAAACACTTCTATTCTACAAATCAATCGGTTCAAGCATCACAAACAAACAATATCAAAAGCCAATAACAAACTTTCTTTCTTTACTTTCCTTTAAAATAAATAAACCAAAATATATAAAATAACAATTCAGATTTCTACTACAGAACACACTGCAGAAACTTTTCTATTGATAATTGATACTACAAGTACACGCAAGTTCCTCTGTTTTCCTATGAATACGCAAATTAAACTGAATCTATGAAAAGTTGTTTAACGAAGCAGAAAAAAGAAAACGAAGTGAATCGAGATCAAATAAACATAAAAATTGGAATGAAAAAAATAGTAACAGAAGAAAATGAAATGAAAAGTTACGCACCAATGAACAGAGAGCTCCGATCTATCGCAGAGCTCTCTCTTTCTCAGATGTGTGTGAGAGAGAGAAATCTCAGAGAAAGTTTGGGTTTTGAAACGAAAATGAAAGAAACGGTGGTGAAATGGAGATGGTAACCGCTAAACGGCAGCGAAACAGAAGAGAATGAGCTATCGTGCGCGGGGTGTTGCTGGTTTTTGAAGGAAACAGAAATAAAGGAAGAATCTGGTACGATTAATCAGTGATGGTTGTTGATTTGAAGAGAGAAGGAAAGAACGTAAGCTATAATTGCACTCGTGTACCAGTAACAGTATTGTTACGTGATTTTTATTTTATTTTTATATAAAATAATTACGTAAACTATAAATAACCAAATTTAAATAAATTAAGGAAATATATATAAAGAGACCAAATTACGAATTTATATGCACATATATAGATTTACAAACATTTCTTAACAAATTACTTTAAATAGTGTTTAATTTTATAATTTATAGCATTTCCATTAAATGTAACTATATTATAAAGAGTACTATTAAATTCGATAAAATTGGACGGTGGTACACGGTGTTTTTTTTATAGAGGCTAAGATTGTGACAAATGTGCTTTCTTCTATCATATGTTGTGGAGATGATTTGAGGTCTTAAAATGTGTTAGTTTTTTATTGGTGAAGATGGGACCGCAGCTAGTCGCGACTCGCATAGATCGATGGTCTCGATTCCGAATCTAGATTTGAATATTGTTTTATTGTGATTTTTAATAACTATTGTTACTTTTACGGAATGTCTTATTTAGAATTTTTTTCAGCAATGCTATGTTATTAGACAATAAATACTAAAATGCCACACATTTCAAATTTAATATCAAAATGTCATATTTTCAAACAAACTTAAAGCACTGCCGCACTTTCAATGGGCGGTTATGTTGTTTTTAATAGGCACCCGCCCTTTCAATGGGTGGTTGAGTTCATTCCAGTTTTTTTTTTTTTTTCGTTTTATGTTATTTAATTTATTTAGTATAATAATAATAATTAATAATAATAATAATTATTATTATTATTATTAATAACAATAATAATAATTATTATTATTATTATTAATTATAATAATTATTAATAATAATAATTGAATTAGAAATAATGTATTTTAAAAATAGATTAATAATATAAATTTTAATATATGTTAATATTAATAATATTAATATTTATATTAGTAATAATATAAGTATTAATATATATTATTATAAATATATCTTAATATATATTTTTAAATATTAATATGTATTATTATTAATATATATTATTATCAAAATAGATTAATAATATTAATTTTAATATATATTAATATTACTAATATTAATATATATTAATATTTATGTCATTAATAATATAAGTATTAATAATATTAATAATAATATATATTTATATTAATATTATTAATATATGTTAAAATTAATATTATTAATATTTATAATATTAATATACATTAATATTAATAATATTAGTATTTATTAGTATATGTATTATGTGACACTATTATTAATATTAATTTAAATTTATATATTGAAGACATAACTTATATTGATTGAAATTATTAACTAATATTAATTAATACATGATGATTAATAAAAGGACTAACGACTACTTGTTCCCACATTGGGACACCGGGTGCGATTGTGTCCCGTTTGACGACACATGGAACATTTCCTCTCAAGCTTATCAAAGTTATCCATTTCTGTTGTAATACGTGTGGTTACAGGGCGACCTTTCTTGTTCCTCCCCATTCTTGGGTTATGGCAAATTTGATCTCCTTCATAAACAGGCCAATATTCATCGCATGGCATCACTGGAAAGCTTGCGCTGTAAACCCCAAATAGGTTTGTAACCCTATAAACGTCGGACAAAAGAGCGTAAGCGTCGTGGCGCACACTCGAACATGCAGCGATAACATGTGAGCAAGGGACACGAAATGCTTGAAACTTTCCGCAGTCACACCATCCGTTCAAGAGGTCGACCTTATAATGTCCCATAGGTTTCCCCTCACCATAGTCCATTGTCTCTTGCACACTGAAAACATTGTTCCTGTAGTAAAAAATTCTGACTTGATGCGTGCTGGATTTTGTTGTTTCTTCTTTCATAACCTTGAGGCAGTTGTCTGTAAATGCTTGGCCAGAATTCAACACAGCACTCCACTTTCCACCCCTTTCAGCAAATAAAGATCCTAGTCTATAATACGTTGCCCTTACCAATGCCGTAATGGGCAAATTACGTGTGCCCTTAAAGACGGCATTCATTGACTCGACAAGGTTGGTAGTCATGTGACCCCAACGTCGACCGCCGTCAAATGCCCTTGTCCATTTTTCGGCTGGAATATTGTCAATCCACCTCAAAGCATCTGCATTTACCATGCTAATCTCTGACCGATAGTAATGAAATGTTGGCTGGTTTAAAGCGTATCCTAAATAATTAAAATATCAAATTAAAATATTGACAAAATAATATATGTTATTGACAAAATTTAATGAATATTAAGAAATATAGTTACCCATGTTAATTATTTTTTTCCGTAGGTTCCTGTCCTTGATTTCTCTCACTTTGTCGGAATCTATCACTTTGTAATCCACACAGTGTTTCATGTGGTATTGCTTAATGGCAGCGACACAGTCAGCTTTATTTTTAAATTGGTAACCGACTTCTATGTCACCTTCCGCGGGAAAACGAGGATTTCGTGGCCAATCAAATGATGTTCCTTCTACGCTTAGTGGCAGGGTTGTCATATGCGCTGGTGGGATGAATACATTTTCAACTGGAACACATTGATCATCTATGTTGACTTTGATCCCTTCCTCAAACAAGGTAGTATATAAATCATCAACTTGTGTCTCGTTTTCTTCTTCGCCGTCTCCGTCTTCAACATCTTCGTGTGGAATTATGGATGGATTGATCACCTGAGAAGTCTGCGTTTCTTGAACTTGTGCAAATGTTATATATAAATCAATGTGCTGAAACCCACAACATTCATGATTCGAGAACATCGTTTCAACATCCTCGTCGTCACGAATCTTCAGTGGAACAAATTTAAAGCGATTGTCGCCGAAACGGACGACATTTTTGTACGTCATCTGTGACACTGATCCAGCTTGCAACTTCATCTGTACTCTTTCTTTAAAATGTTGGAATGATGAGCTTCTATTAACAGCGAAACGAATTACGTCAGTGTTTTCAAATATCAAACCCACTTCATCTGATACAACAACACTTCCATTAAAATGGGCATTAACAATATATTGTTGAGCACTAGACATTATATAATAGAGGTAGAAGAAAAATATTGTTTGAGTAGAATTATTTGGAATTGTTTGAGTAGAATTTGAGATAGTAGAATTGGAGTAATAGAGGTAGAAGAAAAATATTGTTTGAGTAGAATTATTTGGAATTGTTTGAGTAGAATTTGAGATAGTAGAATTGGAGTAATAGAGGTAGAAGAAAAATATTGTTTGAGTAGAATTATTTGGAATTGTTTGAGTAGAATTTGAGATAGTAGAATTGGAATTGTATGATTAAATTTTATAAGATGCAAATAGTAGAACCAGCCATGCAGTCACGTGAAAGCAAAATAAACTTAGCCGCCCATTGAATAGGCGGTGGTCAAAGTCTTTAACACTCAACCGCCCTTTCCAAAAACGGGTGTCTGGAAAGCATTTATTCTGTCTGAAGACAACCGCCCATTCAAGGTACGGGTGTCAGCGAAAGATAAGCACAGCCGCCCATTGCAAATACGGGTGTCAGCGTAAAAGAAATATTATTATATATTTCTAATTCAGTTATAATTATTACTAATTAATTTAAATTAATTAAAACTAAATACATTATTTCTACATCAATTATTATTATTACTAATTAAATTAAAAATAATTAAAACTAAGTATTTTAAAATACATTATTTCTAATTTAATTATTATTATTAATAATTATTATAATTAATAATAATAATAATAATTGTTATTAATAATAATAATAATAATAATAATTGTTATTAATAATAATAATAATAATAATAATTATTATTATTATTATTATTATTAATTATTATTATTATACTAAATAAATTAAATAACATAAAACGAAAAAAAAACTGAAATGAACTCAACCGCCCATTGAAAGGGCGGGTGCCTATTAAAAACAACATAACCGCCCATTGAAAGGGCGGCAGTGCTTTAAGTTTGTTTGAAAAGATGGCATTTTGATATTAAGTTTGAAATGTGTGGCATTTTAGTATTTATTGTCTAAAAACATGACATTGCTGAAAAAATTTCTCTTATTTAAGTTGTTACCTCTTCCTTTTAAATTATAAAATATTTTGAGGATTTTACGAGAATTAAAAAATTAATTTTATGTATAATTTTATAATAATGTCTTTTATAATTGTACTAGCGTCCAGACGGGCATTCCCGTGCACGTCTGTCCACTTTTTTTAATGCGCACAGCATAGGAAACTAAACGTGTGTATATTTTGTATGAAGTTTTTATCATACTTAAAATTAATTAAAAATAATGTTTTTAGATATCCTCAAGTAATCTTAAAATCAGGATGATAAATGTATATATACTAAAAATACTTTAGTGAATTAACTATATATTATGTCCATCTTTATCAAATTATGTGACACTCTTAAAGTTTTCTCTACCTCTAGAGTTTACCCATTTATATTTTGTTTCTTGTCAATTTAGTTGTTGGTTTATTTTGTCGTAATTGAATCTTCTCGCATGGTTACACATTATAAGATTTGAGCTTATCCTTTCCATACGTCCACGACAGAACCCAAACCCCTAGCGTTCAAACGGGCACTTCCGTGTCTGTTTGTCCGTTTTTTTAGTACACGCAAGGGTTAATGTATAAACCGATATTTTTATGTGTAAACTTTGCGATAAACATTGCATGTTCGCTTTTTCAATTGTATTAATGTTTGAAAATATTAACAGTATTAAAAAAAATATCAAACCTCACCAGTGTGTTTTCTAAAGATAGTGATATTATTTAGACTCTATCTCTATCTCTCTCACATATAAATATTCATATATGTCTCTAAAATAAATATTCATGTATATGTACTTGTAAAATGAAATATTTCTAAAAAGTTTGTTTTAGACATGAAAATATTAGATTAACATTGACTCTACACATTAAATATACAAAACCTTTAGTGAGGGGTGATTTGGTTAAAAAATCCTAGTCTTTATCTTTATACTATTTCAACCTTGTCAATTAAAACTTTAATATAATTGTTAAAGAAAAAAAAGGATTGTTATAAAAAAAAACTATTACTACAATGAATCATTGTCATTATTTTGTAGTTATGATTAGCACATAAATGACTTATTTTTTAATCTTTATTATATGATAATGGTTATTATTTTGTACTAATGATCACCTCATATTTTAAACTTTTTTTTCTATTCTAACATAATTAAACTAATTTTAATCTTATAAATGAAAAGAAATCTCAAATTTAAAATTCAACTTCATGAAAATTGCATGACAATTCTTAAATTCCTAAAGAATCTGGAAATTTCCCTCTCTTTCTCATTATTGTATAAACTATAAAAATATATAATTAAAAAAAAAAGACAAAACAAAAGAATTGAAATACACAATAGTAAAAAAGTTTTAAAAAAATATAATAGATAGAGGGTAAAAAAAAAATGTATTGAAAAATACCTCAACAATATGAACAATTCCTTCGCAACATATAAAGAAAAAAAAAGGATTAAACTATATTAAAAATTCAGGAAAAAAAGGAAATAAGAAGGGAATAGAAAAGAATTAAAAAAAACCAAAATAATAATAATTAATAGAATAAAAAGTACAGTAAAAATAATAGAAGTTTTAAAAACTAATAACAATATACCATAAAGGCAACTGATGATAATTAAACTACGAAAATATTATTGTCTACTGAGCAAGAATAAGAAAGTTTCTAATATTTTCTAAGTTTTCGCTCTCTTCTTAAATGATTAATAGATATAAAAGGATACAATGAACCATTTTACCTTTGTCTTTTTGATATAATACAAAACATACTTGCAATTACTACTTGTACTTGTAGGAAAAAATAGTGAGGGTCTTATGTAATAACTACTATTGTTAAGGGTAGCAAGTAAAAGCTTACCTTTTTTCTTAATAAATACCATTAAGGATAACAAAAACATACTTTCTTTTTTCCTCGTAACCTTCGATATTGGTAAATTATAGGTCTTATTTTAATAAATAGTTGTAGCAATCCCTATAATTAAAAAAAAAATTGTATGAGAAGACATAATACAACTCCTTTCATTTTGTGTATATTGTAGACACATAATTTAATGCAAGAAATATAATCAATTATCTCTATATTATATTTTTTTTTACATTTTCTCAGTGGTATTGTGGTTAAATTGGGTATCCATGAACCATCATTACAAAAGTAATTCATTGAAAACCGATATATCATCAGAAGATGATTTCTCATAAATTTTCTTCTTCAATCACTTCCTGTAATATCAAATCAAAACTATTTTCTGCAACGCAATTCAATTAAATTTAATTCACCTCATAGACATCAATGTAAATGGTTAGTTCTCATATCATACTTTGGTAAATATAGCATCCAAGTTGACACAGACCACACCTAATCTATAGATAAACAAACATGACTTACATGTGTGGAGAAGGAAAACACAAATAATTTGAACAATGCAGAATATATAATCTATGCCTTCAGTTGATGTGAAATTGAAAAAAATATATATAGCATCCAAACATCCAAAAATGATTTACAGTGGCATTAAGTTACTATTATCATGAGTTTGGAAATGAAAGACATGGAAACAAATGTCGTGCATCTGAAATGGTAGAGTTATGCAGTTTAAGTTTCAACAGTTAACAATGTTAGAAGCAGTTACAATTTGTAAGGGAAATTTAAAAAAAAAATTAGAAAAATGCATTCAATTTCATAAAAAGATTTTAATGGTCAATTCTAATACTATTTAATGCATGCTAACATATCAAAATATATTATCATGTTCACCAAAACAAATATTAACTTCACTCATGTCCATGAATTAATCATCAATCTTTTTGATCTTTGCCATGGTTTTATTGTAACATTATCCGCTTATCCTACAAAATGAAAATGCATAAAACTAACCATAACAGAGATTGACACTGAGTAATTGTGAAAACGGAAAGAAAAATGCAGAAGGAGAAAAGGTAGAGATTGACCAAGAAAGAAACTGAGTAATTGTGGTGAAAATATATGTATGAATATTAAATTAACACTAAAATGGTGAGAATATATATGATTTCCTAAATTAACACTAAAATGGTGAAAATATATATGATTCATAAATTAACACTAAAATGATGAAAATATATATGATTCTTAAATTATTAGTCACAGAAAAATGACAATCTCATCAAAACTTGTAAAATTAGAGCAATGTATTTTTACTCAGACACTAAAATCAAAAGCTACACATTAGAACAAAACAAAATTAAAATAAATTGAATAAACCAATAAAACATACATGAACATATACAAAAGTGATAATATTAAATGATTTATATATTTTGACCTTATCATGTTTAAGAACATATCTAAAAGAAAATTAAAAAGTGAAAACATGAAAAAATAGATTAGAGGGATGGAGAAAGGAAAGGATAATATGTAGATAAGAAAAAAAACGATAAGAGTCTACTCCATTGTTATTCAGGATTCTCTACCAAGTTTTGCAATTACTTTTGTTTTCCTATTGAAATGAAGAGCAGTTGTTTCACATTTAAATGTCTGTGACGTCGGTTTTCGTTTTGGTTGAACGGCTGAGATTCTTACTCACACATGGTTGTAATTAAAACAAACTGCATAGATAATTATGGAAATATTACAATTAAATAAGGGTAATTTTGGAACAAAAATAAGCCACACCAAAAACTTGTATCCCCTTTATATATAGTTATAGATAAAAAAGAGAAATTAAAAAAATTTAAAAAAATAATAATAATAAATATTTGAGAGTATATTGAAAAAAATTACATTAATTAATATTGCATTGAAAATGTAATATGACTTACTCCCTCCATTCCTATATATAAGCAAAAAATAACATAAGTTTTTGTTCTTTAATATAAGCAAATTTGACTATATTAATTATATATAATATTATTTTATCAATAATGCCCTTCATTATTCATTAGTTTTTGTTGTTTCTATAACATTAATTATCTATACAATTTTCAATGCCTTTTAGTGGAAAAACCACTTTAGTG